GAGAGAGAGAGAGAGAGAGAGAGAGAGTGTGTGTGTGTGACGCACTTGGAATAAACTGTTATGAATTATAAATACCCTAGACCAGTACTAGCGATCTGACAGCGCAGATAGCAAAATCTGTTACTTAAAAATCAAACGATTTGAAGGATCCTTTCAGTCTGTCTGTTGGTTCCCACGAAAGAAAGATCACTGTACTGGGATTTTTTCTTTCATGTTTGGAGTTATGAATCAGGTTCCATAGTGCTAGACTAAAGAGGTTGTGTGTTGTCATCGTTTGAGTGGAGTGTAGTCTGTACGGGTGTGCACTGTGGATCTCATATAGATCTAGTGTTTGCAATTGCAGAGTTGGGGGACCAAAGTTTTCACGATACCCTGGTAAGAATGTAAACTTGGAGTTCACGGCTGTGAAGTGAAGGTGAGTTTCATGATCATGACTGAAGAGAGGAGTTGGGTACCAGTATAGTGTTCACTTTTCTTAATTGTGAAAGTTATGTTTTAGTAGGAGTTTTACAGCACTTACAACACAATTAGGTGATGTAAGTGCGGAAGATTAGAGGTGTCAGAAGAGAGTAACAAACATAAAAAGAAGGAGGAGAGATAAGAACGATAGAAGATTTAGTGGAAAGAAGGGGCAAACCACACCTAAACACCCGCCAACCACCCACTAATGTGAAAGTTACAAGGATCCATAGCTGAGTATCCTGTAATGAAAATGTGAGGATACTGTTCACGATCATTGAGAGATATGTCCGTACAAACACCTGATTACCCTTTTAGTTTTCTCTATTAACGCCAGCTCTAGATATTATCCAATTCTCTTCAATTCATGAATCAACAAAAAGAGATCTGTTGACAATGCCATCTTAGCGCAAACTAGAAACAAGTACGTCAAGTAGTATACTCAGGTGCTTTACGTCGATGATACTGACAGCTAAATCAACAAACAAACTAAAATAAAAAATGAACGAAAACAACTGCAACAACAATCATGGGGTTCATGAGCCAGATATCACGGGCTCAACAAATCGCTACCTCAGAATTACAAAGTTCTATCTCACTTTTTATGCCGTTTTGAGCTACTAAGACAATGAGGTCCGAAATCAAATATTCTATATTATGCTGTATCAAAATTGTAAGATTATTCGTAGTCGTTGTCAAGACAGCCAAGAATTACATTTTCTCAAAGCTTTACATGTAGTGAAACTTTTAATTTTTTACGTCAAATTTCTCAATAGTAGGTGGTGAGCAAATGGAACCTGGTAATTCTGAAGTATCGAAATACTAAACCGGGCGTCATGCAGAGAAAGTCATTCTGGCGTTCGTCACACGCCACTTTTTACTTGTCGTTGATGAACACATCACAGGATAAAAGAGGTCTCACACAGTCAACCCATTTGGGTGTATGATTAAAGCAGCCGAATATTTCAGCCATATTATTCTAAGTTACTTGTCATTCGCCTTCAATTTAGCCGCTTACCTCTACACGGACACCATGTGACGTCACCATTAGCCATTCGACCCTCTGTGCAGTCGCTATACATGTAGATCTATATGCAGTATTCTATTTATCTGCCTATTATATTTATATTTGTATTTATACTTAAATCTAAATTAATATTTAGGCCTATATTTATGTTATATTTATACATTTATATTTATATCTTTATTTATATTAAATATTCATATTCATGCTATAGGAACATGGGATGCTCTTCTCAAATATTATTTGGGTGTACATACATGCTTTCAAATCTCTTTCTTCTCCTTTGCTGCCACCGCAACAACAAAGCAATCCTGTTTTCCCCAAAATGCCATCTTGTTTACCAAAAACACGCCGCATGTAATGAAACTCACTTTTTGCAGCGCGACATCTGACTGAAACGTGCGCCTCGAAGCTCACCTTTCCACTACATATAGCTGAACAACGACACAGTCCCAGGGAATTGAAATGTCAAACAATTCAACCTCGCATAAAAGACAATCAGTAGGATGAATATTTCATGCAGGAAAGACTCATAATTAAAAGTACAATGTAACTGACAAATGATCGCGCACCATATAACCACAGCGCGGACAAAAAGCAAGTCGGCGCTCGTCTTTTCAAGTATTGTTAAAAAAATAATGACTTTATTTTCTGAATATGCCATTTTAGGAAGATCGATATCAATTCCCTACTTCTTTTTTTTTATTCTTTTTTTTTTTGGGGGGGGGGGCAAAAAAAATTAGAGAAACGTATAAGTCTTTTCTGAGTCCTCACTGCGGAGAAGTTGAATGAAATTGTTATACGCTGGATAGCGCAGCATGGAGTTTTTAAATGTTTGTTTTGTTCCTATTAGGAATGGGCTTTGATGGGTTGTTGTCAATTCTATTGTTTCTGTTGTTAACATTGCCATTGCTGTCGTTCTCTGGTTTTGGCGTTTTGTAATAAGGCAAAACGTTCTATGATTGCTTTGATTTGGGTTGGGATTTTTGTTTCTTTTTTTCTTTTCGTTTGCTTTGGGTTGCCTTCTTTGCCCTGTTTGGAGACCCGGGAGTGAGGGGGGGGGGTGGTGAACGGAGCCAATACAAGCTTTAAAAATTGCTAAACTCATGGCATTTCTGATTCCGGGTGCCCACGGTTGGGTCGGGTCGGTTTGCTAGCCAGATTGAGGGCGCAAAGTGGCTATCATGACACTAACCGATCGCCCGACTCGTCGCCTAAAAAACAAACGTGTCGGGCGACGAGTTAGGCAATCGACCGGACCCGACCCGATCCCGGTATAACAGCTGTCTGGAGACCTTGCGAAAATCGCCAAAAGAATAGAAAGAGAATTTGCGCTGTATTCCGGCACTCGTATGAAAATCAACATTTTTAAAAGAAGAATATATATGGGCATCTGTTGGCAGATTTAGCACAATCGTAAAGTACGGCTGTTTTCTTTACTTAGATGACAAATTACAAGTTTGTTGTTGTTTTTTTTCATTTCAGTTTTCAGGCTATTTTGCATGGAGGATCTTTCCAAGCCCAGTTGACTAATAGAAAGAGAACAAAGGTCTTTGTCCTTTTTAAATTCTAACTGAGCAGAAGAAGTAGCAACACGGAGTTTCCATTCTTATGAGTATTGAGCCAGTGTAGAGTGTAGAGAGAAGAAACAGTTCCATTTCATCGGTTGGACCTTTCCAAATGATTGACTTGTCCATTGCCTGGGGCGATTTCAGTTGACTCTCGATGATTCAATTTCACTGTCTAAGGAGAAGACTGTATTCCTTTCGGATGATTATCAACACTGTGTTTTGGTAATATCCCTAAGCTATAACTCTAACTTTACGTTTTAACAAAACGTCGTGTATAAAATATTTTGTTGACATCAAACAGTGTCAATGCCAAAAGGCAAAAACAAAAACAAAATTGATGTGGGCTGAAAATGTGGCCTTTGCACCCTGTTCATGTTGTAAGACTTTCAGGGTTTTCAACAGAGTTTTGCATCTTAAACAGTGAATTATTTCTGACGATGAAAATTTAGCCAAGAAAGTCCAACATGACTCAAGTCGAACCTTTAACAACGTCGCCATCTGAAGACAACTCGACAACCCAAAACGATGACGTCATCTCATCTGCAGTGGTTGGTGACATATGTCGTGTCTTTGGCGTCTTCTTCGCCATTTTCGTCCGAGTGCTCCTCGTGGTATTCTCGCTGTTCACTGTCTGGCTCGTAGTTGCTAAAGTGGGAAGCAACCTCTACTGGTTATTGGTATTGCCCATCACACTCATCGTCGTTGAAGGAATCTACACGGTGATCAAGCGCGGAGGGCAAGAGAGAAAGTGGTGAGTAACTTTCAATAATGTGTGCCCTTTGTACCCTAAAAAAGGGTCGAAGATGTAATATGGTAAACTGCTGGAAAATGGTAAATCAAAACCAGGCGCACACCATTTCCCTTGATGCTAGTCTTGGATCCGATGACGTTGTGCACCTTGTGTGTATGCTTCCCGGGAAGCTGAGAATGTTTCGGAGTGTTCTATGGTCTGCTGGGGTAATAATATAGTGTAAAGCGCATAGAGCCTGCTGTTGAGCGGGATTTGCGCTATACAAATGCAATCTATTATTATTATTATGATGGACAATTAGGCCTACTTTTATTTTTACTTTTACTCTTATATCTTCTGTTGCCGTTGAGCGTCGAGGTGGCATACAGTTTTCTATGATACGCCAGCTCCGTAGGTCTCTCAGTTGATATATTATAATTTCTCAGGGTATCCATAACTCCCTCAATCCACCTTTTGTGTGGCCTTCCTCTTCATATAGCCTGAGTTCTTGGTGTTATCGGCTCTAGAAGCTGGCTGGCTAGGTGACATTTGCAACAGGAGGCCAAACCATTTTATTCTGTTTTTCTGTGAAAAGCAGACATGACTCAATGCCAATAGCTGCTCTTACGTCTTCATTTCTCTGCCTGTATGATGTATAATATATCCACATAAAAGAGTGGCGTAGTCCTTGTGAGCCTGTAAAACTGTTGTAATAACTGATAACTTTTTTGTTGTTTTGTTTTTGCTTTATTTTTCATGTGTCCATCAAACGATAAATGGCAGCACGACATATACAGCAAAGAAATTCATGTAGTTCTAAATATATTTTCCTTCCTTTTAAATTTTATTGAAACGTCATTTGTGCACCTGGTGCCGTACTAGACTGCGTTGTCAAGGATCGCTGTTTGAATCATCATCAAGAAATTTTAATTTATGTTGTTCGGTGTGTTCTCACATCTTTCCAGTTACAGGCATTTCGATGGGCCCTATTCGAGAAGAGAGCTTATTAAATTGAAAATGTATCCTCTAAAATTACCTTAATACTAAACCTTGTCAAACCGTGACATATACCTTGCCCTACCATACCACAACACATCATACCACATCATACCAAAATCACATGGTATTGGATGTTGTAATGTCTCAGCTTCTGGGACTGATGGCATGAGAATCTTTCTGGCTGCTCTTACAAGATTTTCAAACAATGAGGAATACTTCGAAAGTGACACAACTGCTGTTCCTCAGAACTCTAAGGCTGAGAGGAGGTAAAAATATTCAACGAAATAAGATTTCGACAAATTATAGCTCACGTTGAAGCTGAAAGGCAAAACTGTTCACTAAAATGCGTCACAACCGTCAATGCAGAAATATGGATCATAAATCCGATGCCACAAAGTAAATTATGAAGAAGGCAATATACTGAATTTACGAGCAAGTTTACATCAATTTTTTTTTAAGTTGATCTCTTAGCTTATACAGATTACGTTAATAAGTATAACCCTAATAGACAGCAGCGTTCAACAACAAAACAACAACAACAACAATAAAAGAAAACACGAAGATAAGATAATAACGTTAAAATAATACGTCACGCAGTCGCGATGGATGATTGAATTTTTCGAAGTTTCAACAAAATAAACAGCGGTAACTAGCTCCAAAGTTCCAGTATCAGAATTGCTTTCATGTTTTAGGGGAGGGGGTGTATTTCACAATGGGAAAGTGATTCTACATCCTGCTAACCACATTCGCATTCTTGAATTGTCATAGATCTAGGATTTGAATACTGACTTGAAGTACGCTTGTTGGGGGGGG